CCCCAAAAAAGTAGCCTCAAAGAAAATAAACATTTGCAAGAATCATTTGGGTAGATTATAGTTAGAATAGCAATGGCAAGGTCTCTGCCAACACAGAAGTCAATACAAATATTTCTGTAACCTTAGAGAGGACAAGTCCATATGAATAATATTAACAGAAGTATTTATGCCATAAAACTATCCACCAAGATTTCTGAACAACATTAATAATATCCCCTCTTAGGGAGCTAACAAAATGCTAGTGATATAAACTTGGTTTTAATTATAAAGAGGCATTAACAACTACGAGTTGAGATAAACAAAGTAATATAAACCAAAGAACATGAGCCAGGAAATAAAGATCATCCTATTTTCTGTAGAACCTTTCTTTCGGCACTAAGAAGCTTGAGAGTGCCGCAAATAGTGGTTCACAATTTTGATTCCAGCACTTGGGGGGGGGGTGAGGCGGGGGCAGAGCAGACCTCTGTGAGTCTGAGGCCATCCTGGTCTACACAGAGAGTTCCAAAACAGCAAGGGCTATTTTAGAGAGGCCCTGTCTTAAAAATCAAGAAGAGGAAGAGGAAGAAGAAGTAGAAAAGTTGTTTGTGAGCATAAGTAGGAGCGTAAAATGTGTAAAAGACAAGAAATCTGGTATCTGTCATGCACTTTTTTCTATTTTCATTCAGATGTTGGCTGTGTCCTTCCACTTCCTTATGGTATCACTTATACAAATAAAAGATCTTGGATTAGTTTCAGACCCACAAATGTGGGCAGCACAGAACTCTCAGAAAGATTTGGATATTAAAGGTCAAGTGAAAAGTTGTTTTCTGGCTTTCTTTAGAAAAGTGGAGTAATTATTGTTAAAAACAATCTATGATATATTTGTGCATAACTATAAAAGAAGTGTAAAATTCCTAATACATAAAGATTATTATTAAAATACAAATGTTTATATATTATTTGAATATTACACATTGAATATATATGAAATTATCATAATGAACTTCACAAATATGTATAAATACATCTCAACAAAAAGACACCTCTGATTAGTGAAAATCCTTTTCACAAATTAAACAAAAAAATTTTCTTCGTTGTTTTTTAACTTCCCTAAACGTAAATTGATGGAATTTACAAGTGAGTAAGAAACACATCAGTTCTCCTCCCAGTGCATGCCTGTGCATGCATGTGTGTGCATTAGTGCACATGCACACACACACACACACACACACACACTCACACACTGCTCTACATTAAATGTGGTCATACACACATGCTACTTCACTTCCCCTGAGAAGATTACACTGAACATGTCAGAAAGTCAAAAATTTTGGATGGAAAGTCACTGAAAGCACACGATCTCTTTGTTTACTCTTTCAATATATATTTTTAATGCCCAGATGCTACAAGTATATATGATTTCTTATATAACCTTTTACAACAAATTTTATGTGTCCTACATTTCAAATATGTAGTTAAGTTAATAACCATTCAAGACAGAAACACATTCTAAGAGTAATAGCTTTGTAAGAGTACTTTATGAATAATTCAAAACTAATTTAAAAAAAAGAGTATGCCAGATAAAGGAAGATAATCCCAAACTGTAAACAAACAGTACACTTTGTTATAATTAAGAATTAGGAATACAAAAGCATACATTGACATCCTTAGTCTCGTTTCCCATAGTTATTAAAAGTGCAAGAAAAATACGAGTCAGAAAAACAATTCATTTTCAAAACACAACCATTCTGTATCTAGAAACTATGTCCTTCTATTGAACTTTTTTTGAGTGCTCCTTTGGAAGCCATTTCTGGATCTTATCATTCTTCCCAGGAGCTTCTGCCTTTGGTAATTAGAACACAGCAGAAAAGAAATCCCGAAAACAGGTTCTGCACCTGTTCCAAATAAGAGTGACCTGCCTCTGTCCAGTGTTTCCCTCTCAGGCAGATAGCAGCTGCAGGCTTCAAATCAAGATTTGTGGGTGCATTTATAACAAAGATCTGGTCTTTTGCCTCACTCGTCAATTAAAAAACCTCTTCCTTTTTCTCTCCATCTCTAATCTGAAATCAGAGCAATTAAGCAGCAGATAGATAGGCCAGAAGGTAGATCTTGTCTTTATCATTTTCCAGTGCTTATCTTTGAAACTGCCTGAAGGGTTCTTAAGTTTAGCCTGCTAAGATAAAAAAGATCAGCTTTTCCAGAAACCTTAGGTCACCAGTCTTCTAGGTAACTTTGCCTGCTGGAATCCTTCCTTTCTAACTGCATATGCCCCTTATCACTTATAATTTAAAATGTTTCATGGTATGCCATCCATATTTCATAAATGCGTATGCAAGCTTAGTGAGGGCTTGGGTAAGATTCCCATGCCCTATATAGCTGATGGTGTGCATGTATATATAGGTCACAGCTACTTGCTTTCTGGGCTTCTTTCTATCTATGTAAAATATTAGATAAGTAGATATTAAAAGAAGTTAAGGAATGTGCTAAGTAGGTGATGAATTAAGAGTGTGGTTTTATTTCTTCCTTGCATTTTCAACCCACTTTAAAAAATGAAACCAGCACATTGAAATACAAACAAAGAGAAAGAAAAAGAGAAATGAGACTGGAAATTTCATGATAGGGGATCTACAAGTCCTTTTAGTCTGTGCATTTAGCAAACTCAAAAAAGAATAAAACATGTTTGCTGTTCTAATTGTATACAGTTATGTTTTTCAGTGTAGTGTTTCTGTATCCTGAAGAACAAAGATCAGAATCAAACTTGAAGTGATCTCTTAAATTACAGACTGCCACTCAAACATTTTATGGCATAATTTCTCTTTTAGTCGCAGCTTCAAGGAGTGACACATAAGACATCATTGTTTATGGAAGGTGCAAGCAAAGTATAGTAGAAAAGCATATACTCAATAAAAGAGAAAAGATAATATAAACTTAATTTTTATGGGGTAAGCTTTGGGTCATTTATATTTTTAAAGAAAAATGTACAAAATACTGATTGCTACTGTAGATTTTATAGAAAGAATATGATTAAAGGCCACAAGTAGCTCATTAAATTTCAAGAATATTCAGTAAACAGAAGTAACAGTGTGGCAATGGGTGAAGACCAACAGAGTGCTCAAACAGCTGACTTCCAAAGCCAAGTTTAAAAATCTAGGATGTTTTAAATTAATTGGTAACAAACGCTAAAAGACCTTTTTCATTAGCCAAATTTCATTCCTGAAACTAAATTTTAATCAAAACCTATTATGAATTTTAAAAAGTTTGATGTTCTCTTTAGCGTAACCCATATCTTCAAAAATCTTAGTACTGTAAGCATTGATTACCATGGTAATAGAAGTCTCCAAACATTTTCAATTGCTTTCCCTAGTACAACAAAAAGTATTTTGCAAAGCTCAGGTGACCCAAATTATTTTTGTCTATAAACAATGTTCATGTTTGTTTTGTCCTCCTTTGTATTCCCAAGAAATCCCTTTACTAAAGGATATTGTGATCATCTGTTTAAATATCTCAGCTTCCCATTGGACTCTGAGTTTAAATTCAGAGTACTTTTAGAGAGGATCTTATTAAACTGTGAATTTCTTGGGTTTAGCATAATATAAGGTCACAAACAGAAGAGCTTAATAAATGCCTGTTGACTGAAATAAACTAAGTAAGTTCAGCCGCAGAGGCATCCAGCTCCTGTCAATTAGCTAAATGAGAGGGTCATTTGCAGGCTCACCAGAAGATTATCTATAATTACTTAAAGATATACAACATATTTCTAGGCAGTCATATTGGGGGTGTGATTGAGCAATATGGGAAAATGATCATTTAAAAAAAAAACAGCAACTGCTGTCTGTCCTTTTAAATGAAGTTTATTTTCACTCATGCCCTATTGTCAAGGTAAATTTCTCTTTGTTACTTACGAGATTTTTGACAAGTTCTGACATAGATCATATTGGTCTCATAGCTTCTGCAGCCTTAGATGAAGTATATAAAAGCAACTTGAGACAGAATGTTCCCAATGGCCTTGGTCAAATACGAGACTTAGGATCATTGGCAACAATTTAATTTATAGGCAATTGTGAAGGGAATGTGTTGATAGGGGTATCCCTTTGTCCTGGTCTTACACCAGGTGATGTTCACCTTGTATTTCTAAAACTTCCCAAACGTTCCTAGGCACTAAAAAGACATATCACAGGGGAAAAAAAAAAGTCAAACCCTAATGCTTTAACAGGAATCTCCTGAAATGAGGTACCTTTATCATGCTCTAAAGTTTTGAGATCAGGTTCCATACTAAAAAACCATATCACTTATGTGATCTGAAACTTGGAGCCATAATGTTATTTTCTCTACACATTAGCGCTTCAGATATGAGGAATACAGCCAGTATCCCATATAAAGATATAAAGTGAAATATGGATCAAGGTGTGAGGGCTCAGAGAAGCACATTTTGTTAGTGTGTCTTTACCTCGCTCTCCCTTTGAACACTTCTTTCTCTGTACTATACACGTCCTTGTCTCGCTGGTTGGGGGGCACAGGTTGCCCTTAGCTGAAGGATGCTGTAGGATTTCTCGGACCCGTGTTTCAGTGCCTCTTTTGAAGCCACATGTTTTTCCTTTCTTCATGCATGGACTCCAAGGGCCCCACTCACTGGCCTCACAGTGCACTGAAAGCAAAGAGAAACAGTGTCAGCTGGCTCGCAGGCACAGGCAAGATTGTCAGCGAAACAAACAAGGAAGAAGAAAAAAAAAAAAAAAAAAAAAAAAAAAACCACTGCATATATCCTCCATACATCTAAGTTTCTAGGAGAAATTCTGCATTATCAAAGTTGGCCAAGATAACATAAGTAAGGGGGCAGAAGTAGGGTGTTTCTAGTACACATGTTGGGTCTGTTCATTCTTGCACTGAATTGGCTTTCTGCAATGAACTTAGTTAACCCAGGCACGAACATGACTACTCACAATTAATCCTTTGTAAATTTCATAGCATTGCTATAATTTTGGGTGATAATAGAGCTTGAGGAATATTGTGATTCTTTTTTTTTTTTTTTTTTGGCTCTTTTCAGTTTATTGCATGAAGGAGTTACACTAGTCCAAGTTAAAAGCGGACCCCAAATGGTTACATTATACAAGCTGTGAGGTTTTTAAACTTGTGACAAGGGACAGGAGGGAAATTCTACTCATTGCAAGGAAATCCTCACTTAAGCTTCAGAGTCACAAGCACTTAAAACCCATGAACCTTCAGCTGATCGTCCTTAGCCAGTCCAATCTCTGTTAGGAACTGGCATATGTTCTTGCGCTGGTCACCCTGTAGCTGAATTACTTCTCCATATTCTGGATGCTCAATTACAGTACCATTGCAGGCAAATTTCTTCTTAAACGCCTTCACTAATTTCTTTTTATCGTAATCATCAGCGATCCCTTGGACAGTGGTAAGGGTCTTCCTGCCGTTTCTCTGTTGAATTCTTATATGGATATAATCCTCAGTGTCAGCAGGAAGCAGGTCATTACCCTTACTTGCATCAGCAAAGGGGTCGAAAGAGTGGAGGTTCTGAATAGCGGACATACGATACGATTCCTTTTCCTCGGTGGAAACGGCCTGCGGAAGGCGGCTGCGGGAGAAGGCGGTCTGGGGGGACGGAGCGTCGGGAAGCGAGGGGGCTCGAGGGAAAGGCAGCTGAGTCCTCCGCGGCGGCTCAGTGACTGGGGCCGGAATATTGTGATTCTTGACTAGCGAATTAAACATTAGCAGATTTCAGAATTATCTGGAAGGCACTGTTGACAGAAGTTGCTCTCCCAGTCAGTCCCACAGCCATTCAGTCCCAATAGAGACACACAGAGGGTTACATTAATTAAAAACTGGTTGGCCTATTAGCACAGGCTCCTTATTAACTCTTATATTTTAAATTAACCATAATTCTTGTCTCTGTTAGCCATGTGGCTTGGTATCTTTTATTTGTGAGGCATCCTCATGTCGTTTTCTCTTCGTCTGGGTGACTACTGTAGACTAAGCCTTTCCTTTCCCCAGATTCTCCTATACTGGTCACCCTACATATATTTCCTGCCTGGCTACTGGCAAGTTGGCATTTTGTTAAGCCAATACAAGTGACAAATCTTTACAGGACACAAGACCATTGTCCCACAGGAAGGCACAGTAAAGCACGGGATGCTAGAACTTTCCCTAAATCTTCTAATGAAGTTTTTGTTTGTTTTGGTTTTGCAAGACAGGATTTCTCTCTGTAGCAGCCCTGTCTGTCCTGAAACTTGCTGTGTAGACCAGGCCTTGAACTCACAGATATTCACTAGCCTCTGCCTCCTTAGTGCTGAGATAAAAGGCTTATGCCACCAATGCCAAGCTCTGTGGAAGATTTAGGATGAAGCAAATGTGCCCTCTTAACAATGTAAGAGATGTTATGTGCAGATGGAAATGCTGTTTGATTTGAGAACATCTGTGCTAGATAGAGAATGACAAGTAGAAAAGGAATCTATGTCTTTGTCCAATACTCAGTGCCCTTCCTATTCCCCATTCTGCTGAATACCTAAGTATCATTTATGACTCAGTGAATGGGCAGCAGCATCTCTCACTTCACTGGTCAGGGACTGCTGATAACTTGCATCTGGACCGAACATCCTTATGTGGTTCTTAAAGTGCAGGATGTGCCCCACTGAAGCTCATGTGGAAATTGTTTCCTTTGTGTGAATGTAGTTTCTCTGCTTTTCATTAATAGCTTTTCTAGCAGTAGTAGACATTTGTACTTTTAATGAAAAGGCACACTCCCAAAGTGCCTTCTTCCTTCCTTCCTTCCTTCCTTCCTTCCTTCCTTCCTTCCTTCCTTCCTTCCTTCCTTTCTCTCCCATTTCTTCCCTCCCTCCCTCCTTCCTTCCAGCAGAGTCTATATGCAGCTGTATTTAGCCTCTGACCTATGGTCCCATGCCTCTTCCTCCTGATTACCAGAATGTGTGTGCTACCCTGGCTGGACTGAAAACGCTGTTCCTGTTTTTATACCATGAAGCCTCCAAACTTACAACAACGGAAATTGCTTCCAACTGTAAACCTTTGAGGTAGCACAAACTTGTCTTCACAAGAATAAGTTTTCCAGTAACCTTTCCCATTGTCTCCCGACTTAATGGGTTATTTTGCAAGAATGTTATCTCTGATGACAATCTTAAAAACAATAACTTAAGTGTTCTAAAGATCTAAAGTAAAATCTGTAGATAGAAGTAATTTTTTATTAAAATTTTATTTTAAATCTAGAGATCTAAAATGTTCTTTGTTTTAAATAGGTATTTTAGTCACTTTTAGGTATCTGAATGCAGCAAAGAACCATGTAAAAGTGAATTGCTTTCTGTAAACTTTAATGAACATTATTGAACCATCTTCAAAATAAACTTCATATCCACTTATACCTTTGGGAATCTGATCAGAGAAGAAAGCAGCTACAGTATTTGATAGTATCATCTTCTGCAAATTATGAGAAATTTCTCCTAGCATCCTCTCCCTAAATTAATCATCAAAGAGTATAACAGATTAGAAAGTTTCCAAGAAAGCAAAGGGAAGAAGAAATGTTGTTTTTAAGTTAACATTGTATATGTGCTTAGCACTAGAATTAAGAGGATGAATTAGAAAAACATTATTTAATATAGAAGCCAGAATACTTCAGGTCTTTCATGACAAAGATGAAAAGTCAAATACATAATTTGACTTTATAAAAATGGATTTGAGAAATTACAGCCTAGGTAATTACTTATCTAAAATCAGAATTCGAAGGAATCAGAAGATACATGGTTATAAAGGGAAATTTCTGATGTAAATCTTAGATAATTCCATTGCAGGAGGAAATATGACTGAAGAGATTGGATAGTAAAAATCTTTAGATGAGATTATTAAAATTGTATGAAGGGAATAGATATTTCTCCTTCAGAAATACTTTAGAAAAGCTGATCATGCTCCAAATAATAATGTTTTATAAATTTTATAAAAATGGAAACTTTAGATAAATGATAGACAAACATAAAAATGTGATTTATGTCCAATTTAGCTTAGATGAGCAGTGTGGAATTGGGACATAATGCTGTTAAAAGATGCTTAAGAATGGGCCAGGCGGTGGCACATGCCTTTAATTTCAGCACTCCGGAGGTAGAGGCAAATCTTTGTGAGTTCGAAGCCAGCCTGGTCTACAAGGGCTAGTTCCAGGACAGGCCCCAAAGCTACACAGAAGCCCTGTCTTGAAAAACAACAACAACAAACAAACAAACAAACCTTAAATTGACCTTCCAATAGAAAGCAGCCAATATTTCAACTCCTTGGATCCTAACCTTCCATTCTTGTTTCAGGGACAACTTTGATAATCTTCTGTGTAGTGAAGCACACTATCATTTTCTCTGATAATCCTGGGGCAAGCCTGTGTGTGCCTGCTGTGCCCGAGGACCCAATACCAAATAACAGAAATCTTCCCTTAGGGAACAGGCTTCAAGAGCCAGTCCTGAGCAGAAGCACCTGGTCTGAAATTCAACAGTGTCCTGGGTCACTTAATCAATAAATGATCATTTGGCTGCTAGTGGCTATTTTAAAATATGGAATCCATCACCTAAAATTTATGGTAAGAAAGAAAGTTGGTAATGCTAAAGATATAAAGCCAGTGTTCTTTGAAAGCTAATCCCACAGTGTCAGCTGTTACACCCTCTCTCTGATAGGAAAGTATTAATGAACATTTAGCTTTTAAAAACTGAACCCTGCACTTTCAACAACTAACAAAACTTAAATACCTGTCTTTTGTTCTGGGTAAAGAAATCCCACAAGCTTCCAGTAACTCATCCCAGTAACTCATCTGCTCTTGAATATTTTACGGAGTGTTTCCTGTATTTTTCCACTGCTTGGAACTTACTACCTCTAATTATCAACCTTCAGGGTGAGTAGGCCAGAAGAGATCTCATGGACCTTTTACCCTTTGTAAGTTGTTTTTCTGTGCTTTTCTTGACTAGAGAAAGAACTCGAACATAAAGGCACACAGACTGATTTAGGATTGCTGTTTTCCAGTGCTCATAAGGTTAACTTTGAAATATCATACGTTGGGTTTCTTCTGACAAAAAGAGTGTACAGAAATAAAAGTTGTGGTTGTCCTGAAGTGGTTAAGCCACTAACTTATAATTATTTCTCCAACACTTTAGATTCTAACAGAAGCGTCCTGTGGGGAGCCTGGAGGCAGTCCTGGAGACTATCACACACTGAATCAGGAGGCTCTGTGTACACATGCCAGCGTTGGGTCAGCATCAAAGGTTCCTGCAGCCACTGCCCAAGGGACTTGGGAGTTTTCCTTTGCTGTTTTCTCATTCACTTTCTCATCTGTTCCACAAGTGTGCATCCTACTCATAGCTCTAGAGCTGTGGAGCACTTAAAAGAGAGAAAAACCTAGCCTGGCAGTGATCTGTTATTTACACAGACAACTTGTGTGAGGGACCTCCACTCCAGAAAACCAGGCCTGCCATTAATCACCCTTGGGATTGTCTCATTCTGTCAGTTTGAGTGAGTCAAAAATTTTCTCTCTCCCCCTCTCCCCTTTTCTTTTTGTTCTTAATACCTGTACAAGATGGACACAGCAGTACTAATGACTGTTTTCAAGAGAAATCAACTTCGATTGTAGGTTGTTATTAAATTTAGGGATTTTGTAAAACTCTTGGTTGAAAATGGAAATTAGTTGAGTTCCCCTCTCTTCCTCGCCCTTCTTTCTTGTCTCTGAAATGTAACAAATCTTTAATGATTAGAAGAGTAGTAAGTAGTCCTTAAGAAATATCAGAGCACTCTTAAACTGCTCATGAGGCAGGCTGAATATGGCTATGTGAACATAGATTTAGGGCAGCATCTTTGTAAGCAAAGATGGACAGTGTATTAGAGAGAGCCTCTTAGGGCTTTGGGAAGGATTTTCATGAGACTGCTATTGCCATCTGAAGTGTGTCTCATCCATTCTAAATCTTAGAAGCCTTCCTCACCAATACTGACGCATTCCATAGTATGGTTGTTGGCTTCTAACCCTTCTGGGCAGCTGTCAAGGCACTTTCCAAGGTGTAAGTAAAATCCACTTTTACACTTTGTGCAGAAATTTTTGTTGAAACAGGTATCACAGTCAGCTTTGCATTCTGAAAGAGAAACACAGAAAAAGAATTGTGACTCCTCTATCTTCTTCAAAATATTGCTGGATCATCTTTCCATATACATGAAAACTCCTGCATCTAAGTTTGGGATCAATATTATTTTACCAGACTTGAATTGAGGATCTTCCAAAGTCATTTAGTTGATAAACATCAGTTATTGCTTCCAAAATTGTGGTACAGATTGTCTCATGAAAATACCTTGATAATATACGCTGGGCTCCCTTATTTTCAGCCTCTAAAATAAAAGTTCTTCTAAAATCTGCAATATTCTGATCACTGACATCATGTTACAAAGTGTTATAGATTTTTGGATGATCAGATTATAGATATTCAGACGGTAAGTTCTATACACGTATTCCCAAATCCAAGAATCTACTAAATCAAATCTGGTTACAGACAGTTTATATAAGAGGTACTCAACCTGTCCACATGATCAAATAGCTCTTTGCATTAAATGATAGTAATATTTTGTTATAATTTAAATTAAATATACAGAGATGTTGTATTCATACTGTTCTCAAGACTTATTTGTGCATTCAAGCAATATGCAACTGTCTATTGTACGTCGAAAGTTGGTTGATGGCAGTTCATGGGGGTAACATCTACTATTCACAGTAAGCATTATTAAAGGTCTTTTATGTTATCATTACCAT